CGAAAGGCACGAGGCACTGATCCACGTGGAATTTTTTTGTTTGTACACCATTACGTAATACACACAAATGTCCATAAAAGGAAATACAGACAATGGTATTTTAAGGGTTGCCCATTTCGAGCCCAAGTTGAACATTCCCCCAATTTACTTCTCTTCTCTGTACATCCATCACCTCAGTGGTTGTCCACCAGGGACACCATATTTTCCACGTACCGCATATCTATCCAAACCCATTCCTCCTGTTTTTTTTTCAAACATAACTTCTACCGACCGCGCCCGTACCTCCACATCCTTGTCGCCTTCGAACTCGATCAGCGTCAGGATGGCACAACCTTCCTCTTCCCATCGTGACCGCGATAGAGAGGGGCACTCACATCGTTCTGAACGCTCTACCCACCGTCACCATAGAACCATTTCCTCCACGACCCTTCTCCTTGTTCTCTCCCTTATCCTCGCCGTCCTCGCCGTTATGCTCTCCCTTCCCAGTCAAAGCTCCTCCGCCGCCGGTGGTGCGCCTGGAGACCCCGCTGGCCAAGGGGTTTGGAGTGTGCTCACCCCCAAGCGATCTCAAGCTCTTATTGCCCGTGAGAGGGATATTGCAGTGCGCGAAGCGGAGGTTGCCCGTCGTGAAGCCGAGATCCTTGCCGGTGCACCGGGTGGTGTTATTGGGACTAGCCCCGTACCGACGTCATGTCCCCCTTGTGTTGCACAGGCGACCTTCGAACCACCTCCGGTTCACACCGTAATCAAGGAGGTCGTTCAGGATAAGGAGCTCACCCCTCCCGGATGGTGGAAGGACAGCAACGTGCGGTTTGATGACATACTTGACCGCGAACTCAAAATTGCCGAGCGCGAGCGCGAGATCAGTCGCCGTGAGGAGACTGTCAACCGCCGCGAACACGACGCTTCTCGTCGTGAGGCTTGGATCGTGGAGCAGCTTGCGTAAGTCTTCTGAGACCTTCATATCCCTGGCCTCTCGCTGATGGTGCCCTGTTTAGTGCTCTCGGTGGTGAATCTTCAGTTGAGGAAGAATATGTTTACGAACCGGTTGGAGCCAAACGCAGGCCATCCAAGGTACCACCGCCCCTCTACCGCCGTCCCGAGCTCTGAGACGAAGGAGGTTCTGGACTCGTCTCGTTTTCCTACTTCAGTCAGTTGAAGTCTCTGTGATATCCCTCCCATACTCCTTCGTCCGGGCTTGGGGGACAACGGCTTTTTCATCTCTCTCTTGTCCCCCTTGTTCGCTGTAGCCTTGGAGCCATTCGGTCACGACGCGTCAAGTCGCGTCGTCCGGAATCAAACTTGCTCGATCAGGTAGACGCGTCTACACGTGACACGCCGATTCATCTGTGTTTGCCATGTGTCGACCGAAACGGGCTCCAGGGCTACAAGTCCTCCATGAATAAGCTCGAGAATTGTCTTTGCTGACGCACTTTTCTTCCCCACAGGAAATACCTCCCGCCGTAATTACAGAGATCGAAACTGCAACACGTACCGTAACCCAAGTTCACATTGAAACCCAGTTTGTGCCGAGTGATACCGTTGGCATCCCGCCACCCGCAAATACCCGCCGCGTCGCCAATCCCACTCCTTCTCCATACTCGTCGTCGTTTACTACGATGTTGCCAAGAACCACTTCAGTTGAGGTGCTGATAGAGCATGAGGAGGCTGTTGTGCGTGAGGAACCTGTTGAAGTGGAGGAGGTTGTTGAGGAGCCGAGGAGGCGTGCAGGTCGCAAGCCGCCTCCTCCTGCTTTCCCTCCTGCTGCGTATAGACCGGCGCCGCAGCGTTGGTGGTAAGTATTTTGCGGTGGTGGTTAGTTGACGATCATGAAACCGATCTGGGCCTGTATTGACTATTCATCTTTTTTTTGCTACGTATCTTTTATTGTCGCTGCTTGCGGCGCCTTGGTGCTGATCATTGAGCTGACCTTCATCTTTTGACGTTTCTAACCCTGCGATACCTACATTTCTTGTCCCTTACCGCTTACGAACTTTAACCGAACTTTAACGACAAATGGAAGGTTGCTCACAAATTTCGCTTTGGTGATGGATGATGACGGAAGGACGTTTGTTGATGTTTGGTAACCAAATTTGTGGTCCATGGACAGATCCTTTCCTGGTCTGGCTCCCTCGCGCGCTCGTCTAACAACGCGTCTTTCTCGTACAACCAACTTATCGTTCGCGTGGCTTCATCTTTCCAGCCCCCATGGTTGCTCCCCCCCACGAGAGTTCCGTTAGTTTAGGTCCGTACACGGAGACCTCATCTCTGTCCAAAAGCTCCACCCTTTCCCCGACATTTTCACCTTTTGTGAATGCCTACTCCCGGCTCTCCAGCTGGCGCGCAGCGCTTGGGCTGCCAAACCCGGGCTCGGTGGAGAACTTGCAGAAAGAGGTCAAAAGTGAGTTTTTTTCTGTTTGCAAGTCCGTTTGGGGTGTCTCACGGGGTGACACAGCAACGCATTTGACCAATTTCATCTTCGATGGCGCACGGGCTGACCTTATGAAGGGACTATCGATGGATCCGGCTTTCCAGGTTACCCATTCATTCCAGTTAGCCTCGCAATCTGCACCCCCGACTTACTCATTCGGTGCGTTGTTCGCAAATGCCAAGGTGAGTTACAGAATGCCAACCTATGACCTGTCATATTTTTAACGTACCTCCGAAAGGTTCTTCTTCAAGGTAACGTAGACCACGAGGGTAATGTTTCTGGGCGATTCCAGCAAAGCTGGTCGGCATCAAATACCTCCAAGATGCAGGCGCAAGTATGTTGCCGTTATTGCGCCCTCGAATGACATATTGACGTTACACTATCCTAGCTCGGAATGCAGCCCGGCCATACTATGATACAATTGGAGCATGACTATTCGGGTCAAGACTACACTTTGAATGCCAAGGCCATAAACCCTTCGCCGTTGGACGGTTCTGGCATTTACGTTGGGAGCTACCTTCAGTCCATCTCAAAAAACCTAGCGCTGGGCGTCGAGACACTCTACCAACGGGCTGCGCTCGACCAGGCGGAAATGTCGTCCTCGTACCTTGCCAAGCTGACAGGCTCCAATGGGAAATGGATTGCGACAGCACAGTTCCAGCCGATTGGTGTTCTCCAGGCGACTTACTGGCACAAACTCAGTGAAAAGGTAGAGGCAGCTGCAGATTTGCAGGTGATTGCGGCTCCGATGCGTCGCGATGCGATTGCCACAATTGGTACGAAGTATGACCTACGTATGTCGACATTCCGGGCACAGCTGGACTCGACGGGCAAGGTGTCGGCGTTGCTGGAGCAGCGATTTGCTCCCAGCTTTGCGTTCACGGTCGCTGGAGAGATAGACCACTTCAAAGTACGTGTCGTATTCATATGCTATTCCGTTCGTTGGCTAAGTACCATGGGATCCGTCAGAATTCCGCCAAGGTCGGAGTTGGTGTGATGATCGAGAGCACAAGCTTGACACCCGAGGAGATGGGAATGGTACCCCCACCGGGACAGCCACACTTTTAGGCCATATTTGTGGATCGATACTCTAGACTAATGCATAGCATGACCCTCTACTTATAACTTGCACTTGCACTGCGCACAACACAAGACGGGCCGAGCCGATTCGGTGATCCGGACCGTTGCGTGAGAATGACAATTGATCTTTTTTTGTTGGTGGCATGATCCAGTGGCTGCTCTCTCGAAGCCATGGCTCCTTTGATCGCGGTGAAGAACCTCGCCTGTCACCGGCCAGAAGGCGATCCTATTTTCGTGAATGTCAACTTTGACGTGAACGAGGGTGACATCGTCGTCTTGCGGGCACGGAGTGGCACTGGGTGAGTCGTGTTCTTCCTCATCTCCCTGATCCTCATTGTCGTTGCGTATATTTCAGAAAGACCACCCTCTTGAAGTGTATAGCTCATCTGAATCTTTATCATGGAACTGTAGAGTTCAAGGGAAAGTGAGTCACGCTATCCAGGTTCGTCCTCACAACTGAGTCTCACACGAGCCCGGGCTGTCAGACCCCCTAAAGCTTATGGTACGCTGGCCATCCAAAAGGACGCAGAAACTCTCCCATGAACGTAATGATATAGGTGTCCCCACGTACCGAACCTACGTGCAGTACATCCCCCAACGACCTTCACTGTTGCCCGGTACACCGCGCGATTTAATCGAGACCCTGTCCACATTTCACTCGCGATTCGCCCCAGAACGCTCTTCCGAAGGTCATGACTATCTCAGTAGCTCCATGATCTTGGCGGAGCAATGGGGTATTACGAAGGAGCTCTGGGACAGGGCTTGGAGCTTGCTCAGTGTTGGGGAATCTCAGCGATTATCGCTTGCGATTGCATATGGGTTCAACCGCGCCGAAGTCTTGATGCTTGATGGTGCGTGCGTTACTATTAACAACGCACTTCCCCCTCATTTACATTTACATTCCATCTACTCGGAATTTTTTTAAAGAACCGACATCCGGGCTTGACCCCGCGCTGTCCACGCTGGTGGAGAACACGCTCTTGCACGAGATCCACAACCCGGATACGGCCCTCAAAGCCATCATATGGATCACTCATTCGGATGAACAAGCGGAGCGCGTCGGCACGCGGTTCCTGCACCTCTCACCAAATGGCATCGAAGAGAAGAGCCGTATCGAACCGTAGAGAACGAATGGAGTGGGATCGTCGTCGTCGTCGGCTTTTTTTTTTATGGGTATTCGTGATTTTAAATTAGATTTGAACTTAAAGGATGTGATGTTAGACACACGCGATTCGACATCACTATCCGCTACAAGTCGCCAGCGCCCCAGATTCTCCGATGGGCATTTCGTCCATCGCGCCCCGGTGATGGACACGGGCCTGGTGACTCTAAGACTCTTCTCGGTAACTAGATGATGCGGGGCTGCGCGCTGTGTCAATGCTGATTGTATGTAGCACCCTGGTGTAACTTGTATCTTTCTTGGATCATTCACGCTGCCGCCATTCTTTGTCGGGGGATTGTAGCCATATAAAATGGAACCTCAGTTGTTGGACCTTTAGCTCAATCGGTAGAGCTTTGTACTTATGAGGTTAACCTATACATGCAAGGGTCCCGAGTTCGATTCTCGGAAGGTCCACTTTTTAACTTTCCTTATTAGACGCCGTTATTGATACCACGGCTTCTTCGTTATGATACTGACAAGGTAGAAATATTTTGCAAGGTATAAGAAGGTACAGTGCCGAACTACGTAAGAACCGAGCCCGAACTACCGGCATCGCTAACTTGTGCTCCTGCCGTGGCTGCGACCAACGCTTGGCGGGCGTCGTCAGGGTTGTGTTCGACCCAAGTCGAGATCAGCTGGGACATCTTGAGACTCTGATCAAGCTTGTCTCTCAGTTTTTCGTAGAGCTCCGTATCCCGAGTCTTCGCGATACGCTCCATCTCCGTGCGGGTCTGTACGACAAGGGGAAGCATCTGCTCCTGCACCTGTGTCACAATAGATCCCTTGATGGCTTCCATGAAAGATCCAGAGAGCGGCATCGTCGGCGCCGCTGGCGGAGCACGCTTCGCATTCGCATGTGCCGTCAGGGCGCTCCGCAGTGTCCTGGCCTCCTCCTGGAGACGCGCGATGGCCTCAGCATTGTCCTGATCGGCCTTCACCAGCTGCACCAAGAGCAACGTAACGTCGTAAGATGGACGAAAAGCTAAAGCTAAGCGAACGGCAACGGCTGCGCACCTGTTCGAACAGTTCTTTTTCCGCAGCTTCTTCCTGCTTGGACCGATCGTTCTCACGCTGAAGCGTGTCCAGCTGCGGCATGAGATCCGCCACTTCCTGCGCGAGTTCTGCGATTTCCCGATCCGCCTGCGCAAAGTTCTCATGGAACGTTTGGATCGTCTGCGCAGTTTGTGGGCCGAGCTGATCCCCGCCGCCGCCGTCACCCACCAGAGCGGAGATATCGGCGCTCCGCGCGATCTCCTCGATTTTCTCGTCCACTTTGGCCTCGAGCTGCTCCATGATGTTTCGAGAATGCTGCGTCATGTCGTTCTCCATCTCCTGCAGGCGGTCTTCGATCTCGCGAATGGCGTCCTTGATGGACTCGACGTCCTCGCGCATCATTTCTGGCGAGGCCGTATCTACGGCAGCACTGTCGCCGCCATCGCCGGAGAGGCGTCGTCGTTTCTTGTTGTGGGTATCTCCGTCGCCGCCAGCAGCCTCGTCCGCAGCCGCAGTCGATGGGCCTGCACTGGGCCGACCGGTGCGTTGTTCGTATAGGCTCTCGATGCGCTTGTACAGCTGGCCGACGCTGTCTGCCAAGCCTCCCAACATCGTTTTCGCCTCCTTTAGCTTAGCCTCCATGTCACCCACATTTTGCGAGGGCATGGGCGGCCAGAAATCCGTTTCTGACAGCTTGTTGAGGGCTTTGTTCAGGGAAGCCTTTTTCTTTTCGCAGGTGGCCGTGGCATTGGCGAGACCGGTATGGAAGGCATCACGAATGTCGGAAGGGAGGGTACTGAATGCAGGCGACTGGACTTGACGTCGACGGGCCTCGACGTCTTTCTCCAGCTTTCCAAGGTCCATGTATTCTTGAGTAGCATCTGCCATCAAACTACGGAAAGATGAGTGTCGCGTCGGATATGATTACGGTGAACTTACGCGACGCGCTTCTCCCACACAGCCCGTCGCTGCTCAGGTGTCATCTCGTCTCTTAGTGACGCAGGATTTAATGAGGGAGGCGGCGGGAGAACATCTGAGAACGACCGCGAGGGCGCTTTGGCAGAACCAGAGGACATTGTCAACATCAAGGCCCTCGGTGCGGTCGGTGGCGTGGCCAGAGCTGGGCTTTTAAGAGAGCTGATGGGACGGTGACTTGACTCTTTTCCAGAGTCAGAGCCGTTCTTTAGTAGTGTAGGTTTAGAAGCGTCCTCCTTGGAAGCGAGGTCCGGTTGGGGGTGTGAATGACGGCGGTCGCGTGAGGATGATCGGTGAGGAAGAGGCCGAATGTCACGAGTGGTGCTGAAAGAGCTGCGGCCGCGAGGGGGACTGTCACCCCGTCGGGGACTTCGCGGTGGGAAGTCAGGTTTGTGGTCAGAGTAATGTGCACTGCTCCCACGAGGCGGCGTCCTCCTTCGTTTGGGGGCCGACTCGGGGGCTGCACGCTGACGGTCGTCGGTTGAGAGTGACCGCCTTCTCTCATGTCCGTGGTAGGATGTGGACGGTGCTGGAGAGCGTCGAGGAGAGCGTCGAGGAGAGCCATCGCGAGCGGATCTCCGGTTGTCAGAAAAAGACCATTCCGGGTCGGACGGGTGAATAAAATGACAAGTCGATGCACTGCGCGAGCACCCGTATTCACCGATTCGGTTACCTTCACTATCGAAAAACTGACATCCAAAATGCGTGAGTGCGTGGGGAATAGATAACAACCAGGACGAACACGGCAGCGACGGATTTTCGGTGGACCCATTCTTTATTGTTGTGAGTGTGAAGCCACAGTCATTCAAGCTGCCATCTCTTTTTTTCTACTCCGAGGCCCTACATTCTGGCTAGACCCTATAAGCCTGCACAGCTCTCCTGTTGACCAGGCTAACTAAGGGCCACGTGCATACGGCCGTTCTCACTGTGTGCCCCGCAATCCGATTTGGCTCATTACTATGCACAAATGTTCCTCACACGGGTCGGATATCGTTGAGCAGCAGTGACATGAATGCAAGCTTCTGCAACCTGTCCCGTGTTCGGGCAGGAAGGCAAAGCAGGTGAGTAGGAGCATGCCACTCAGGATCTCCAAGGAGGGTAGATGAGCAGCAACATCCGATTCATGCACCTCCCTGTGTGTCACAAACCAAGATGTTCCAATGTTGAGGTTGTTGACATGCCGGGGCCAACAAGTCCATTGAATCATTACGACCTATACAGTCACAGCCTGCTTGGACCGGGTGTATGGCGACCCAGTGTAATAATACCATCGAGTAATGGAGAGATTAGAGTGTACTTCCTAGTGTTCGGAATGTATAGGGCCTGGTTAAATAAGGGGCAGTGCACTAGCCTGGATTACGACGGCACAAGTCCACATAAATTCACCCTAGGGCGCCAACATCCTCTCGTCAGCGACAACGTCCACACCTGGGTTGCTATGCTACACACCGTGATAAAAATAGCATATGCGTAGTTCAGCGCTGGTCGAGGGACGAGAAAGAGCCGCGGGAAGGTGGCGCACCGCTTTAAGTAAAAAACGAGGTCAGCCGCACATGATCATTTCCTTGGCCTCCTCTTCTCTCCGCCAACATGATCACTACCTGGCGGTACCTGATCCTAGTCCTCGTTTCTATCGTACGTCTCGTTCTTGCACATATCTCATAACAGCTCTGACCTTCCTTAAGCTCGGAATTCATTTCATCCTCACTGTATCCCATGAAGCATACGGCAATGCCACGTCCATCTCTCGCCTCCTTGGCGCTGAGAAGTCACGAAAGATACAGGACGTGATCCCAGACCAGTACCACTGGCCAGACAATACTACGTTTGTGCCCAATCGTCGGGCCAACGCTTCCATCGTCATGCTCGCACGGAATGGCGATCTCTCTGGTGTGGTGAAGAGTGTCAAGCAGATGGAAGACCGCTTTAACAAGCGTTTCCATTATCCCTATACCTTCCTTAATGAAGAGCCGTTCACGGATGAGTTCAAGGAGTGCGTCACGCCTTTCATAGGGTGGATTTCACTCCGCTCACTGTCTTGACCACTCGTTGCGCAGGAGGGTTACTGAACTAACCGACGCAACCGTCGAGTTTGGACTTATTCCTCCGCATCATTGGCACCAGCCCGACTGGGTAGATGAGCAGAAGGCGTCCGCTGCACGAGAGGACATGGAGAAGAATAATGTGATCTATGGAGGTACGTACATAACTTGGGTGCTCCCTGCATGGAGACTGGAACCTGACCTACCCTTTTCTCAGGTAGCCTACCGTAGGTGTAGAGATTCGCTCAGGCTGGTGGCTGTGTTGACCCCCGCCAAGGTACCGAAACATGTGCCGGTTCAATTCGGGCGTAAGCACACTTCCCCTTTTACTAGACCGCTTGACCTACTTGCCCTTAGTTCTTCTTCAGGCATGAGCTTTTAGCCAAGTACAAGTATTACTGGCGGGTGGAGTAGGCTACATGTCCTATCCGTGGCAGGCTTGTTCGCTCATAGTCGTTCCCCTCAGGCCCGACGTCACCTTTTTCTGCGACCTTGACTTCGACCCATTCCTCTTCATGCAGGATAACGAAAAGGTCTATGGTGCGCATACGAGTAAATACCTTCTATCCCAGCAGCTGAGTGTGCGCAGGCTTCACCATCACACTTCCCGAGTATGGCGAGACGATCGAGACACTATGGCAGACTGTAAGAGGTGCTTATTATTTATCTACCCAAAAAAGCACTCTCCTTTTGACTCTTTCATGCTATCATAGACTTCATGGAGCAGAACCCCGACCTCATTGCATCAAATAATGGGATGGGGTTCCTCTCCGACGACAATGGACTTACTTACAATAGATGTCATTGTAAGATTTATTAACCCCTTGATCACTTGTCCCCTACTGATCGCCTACAGTCTGGAGCAATTTTGAGATCGCAGATCTCGACTTCTGGCGCGGTGAGGCGTACATGAAATTCTTCGAACACCTTGACAGCGCTGGTGGATTCTACTACGAACGCTGGGGCGATGCGCCGGTGCACTCGATCGGTGCGGCTTTGCTAGTGCCAAAGGAAAAGCTACACTTTTTCCGCGAAGTAGGCTATCGGCATGAGCCGTTCCAGCATTGCCCAATGGACGATTTACATAGACGAGGTAAATGTTGGTGTGACGAGAAGCAGGACAACTTTGGTGAGTTGCACCGCTGTTCAATATGCACCGCGACCTGATGTTTTGCGGGGTAGATTATCATTGGTATTCATGCATGCCCAAGTATGACCGTATCTTCGAGTAGTTTAGTATCCATGCTTTTGTCCCTGTTGCAGTATCTACGATTTATTTCATGAATTGGACGATTACCTAGGAGTTCTCCATGCTGGTGAATTTTTAGAATCGATTGTATGTGCCACCGAGGGCAATGATCATAGGATGGACTGAGAATAGTACTGATACTGCATAGGACAGTG